ATTACTATTAATAATAGTAATTCCAGCAAAAAATAGAAGCCTATCTCTCCTCTTGAGTATAAAGTAGAAACAGTTTTAAGGAATCAAAACCCTAAGCAGAAAGGAGATTGCAGGTAGTAGAGAAAACAAGGGATTTTTAAGGTAGCCCAGGGAGGATAGCTCCACTGAGCTCCAGGTCATTGCTCTTCCTTCCCTGGTCCTCCTTAAAAAGCATTAAAAAGCTGTGTGGCATGCTGCTGTTGCTGGTAGAGAAAATATGCACAGCTGCCTCTCCTCTAGAGTAGAAATAGCTTTAAGAAGCATTAAACCCAGTCTCCTCTACAAACAGAAGGGAAAGGCTACAGAATGAGTGGCATTGTAATTCTGATGCTTTTACAAATCCAGGTCTTAATGAAGGATATGGAAGGGGAGAGTCCTCCCCCCCCCCCGCCCAAAATGGGCTGGTTAGGTTGCTTTCTTAACCCCATTGCTGACATGCAGGCCAGTATGGTGTTTGGGGAGGACATTGGCAGGGGTCAGGAGACATATTCATGCACTCGCTATAACCTGCAATGTCCTTTTGAGGGAGGGCCTTTGGTGGTTCCTCAGTACTTTGGGTTATAGCTGTTTGTGGGGGCAGGAGGCTGTCTGTGTAATGGACATATCCACCAAATACACACATACACATTTTCACTTTTATTATGTGTATAGATAAGATAGATTTTAGGGTAATTTGTGAAACTACTGTGTGTAAGGTAAGGGGCTATAAGAGGGTTAAAAAAGTGGATAGTTGAAAGTATGTAATGACCGAGGAGATTTGAATAAGATTGGTGAATGACATTTAGGAATGACAGTTGTTAGAGTAGCTTTCAAAAGGGTAGTTGTGGTAGTGTGCACCTACACAATAGAATTAATGCACATTGACTCTTGTTTTAACTGCTATGGATCACTGTTGTGAATTTGTGGGCTTTGGAGTTTAGTGAGGCACCAGCAGTCTTTGGCAGAGAACTACATCTCCATATCACTGAGCCATGGCAGTTAAAGAGGTGTCAGAGCGCATTAATTCTACAGTGCAGATGTGTCTTGTAGCATAAAAAGGGGGAATGAAAGGGGAAAACAAGGAATGTGACAAGAAGGGTTCAAGAATCCAGCACTTTGTTGAGGTCTCTTCAATAGCCTTACTTTAGTTGTTGCTTTTTTAAAACCCGAGATTGAACCCTGACAGCAGATCGCTATGAGAACAAAATTTCCTTCTTAATCTGAACCAAACTCCCATCATATTTGTTTAATATCAGCTATAATTCTCCATTTAGAGTGTCCACCAGCTGTCCTACTTTAGAGACAAAGAAATATTTCTGATTCTAGCTATGAGATTAGCTACAGTGATTCCCAGTGGATCAGTCATATCTTTATAGTACTTGTTTTAGGACAGTATGGATTTTTCGTTGTTCCATAACTATAACCTTCACAATCGATGTGTAATATAAAAAGAAAAATTTTTATTTTTAACTTGTGACAACCAAGAAGAAACTGTGATTTTAAACTCATGCTCTGTAAACCTCATTAGGTTGCTGTAATATGAATTTATACATGCTTTGCCTTTAATAAATAAAGTGTTCCCCTGACAAAATGACCTGGCTGTTCTATTGAGATAGGCAAAGACTCTTGGATCAAATATTGTTTCATGTCAGCATCATTTTCCAATTCAAGGTCCACTTGCATACCATGTTCCTGCCTGGGGAGACATGACAGGTCAGAAGTTCCAGAATTTGTATGTTTGACAGCACCTCTGAAAATAATTAGTTTTATTTTAGCATGTGCTTTTTTGGATATAAATCTGCTTCTTCAGATGGAGTACAGAGTGATATGGAAGCTTGTGTTTCTAGCCCATATTGAGCTTCAAGAGCATTGCAGGAGTGGGATAGAATGTAATAGTGTTGTACCATAAAATGACAGTGGAATTGTGCTTGGTGGGCTGTAGCCAATTGATACACAGTGTTAAATAATGAAAATGATGTCTTTATTCATAGTCTTTGGAGAAAAGGGTTTTCAGCAATCATTTGCAAAGCAAGTACACCATCTACCCATTTACAAGGCTTCTAACTAACAATGTTACTATGTTGTGAGTTCTTTGCCATTTGCCTTGATATTAGTTGATCAGTCACAACCTGCAAGAAGAGTTAACACAGCATGCAATAGCTTCATATTTGCTACTAAAACAATATATAGCTAGAAAATAACTAGTATCTACATTTTCTTAGCCTAAAAGTTATCAATAGGATACAGAAAAATGCAAATCCTATCCCTTGCCCTAAATTTTAAACTAATTTTAAATTAATTTTAAACTTACTGTTATAGGTAAAAAAAAGAGCACGAAAGAGTAAATAAATGATGGATTAGTGAACACAGAGAGTGAGTCTGTCAAATTTAAGAATAAATGGATAATGTTTAAGAATTTGAATTAGCTGGAAGTCAAATGCATGAAAGAATGTGAGCTCTTTTGGATGTATTAAATAATGAATCGGATTTTAATTTTTGTAAAAAACAAATATAAGGGAGAAGGAGCAAAGTGTCTTTTGAAAAGGGCGAGCTTTCCCCCTGATCTACATGTAAGATTTATTCATTTAAATATTTTTTCTCTATTCCAGAAATTCCTGAAGGCAACTAAGAAAAATTCCTCATTAAATTCGCTAGCTTTAATCATGTAAATATTTCTACTCTAGTTCAATATTTCTTCAAGGCAACTCAGAATTATTCCCAATTAAAACAAAACCAGAATCTCAAAACATAACAGATCTGCAACAATTTGTTGCAATGTGAAATCCTAATTTATCTCTCCTCTTCCCGTTTTCTCCTTTGTCCTCAGTTGTGGAAACAGATTCCAAAATGCAAAAGTAGCTTGCATTTATTGTGGAGAAAGGAGAAGAAGGGAAAGTGAAGGAGATGAGGGTGAGAATAAGGATAAGAAAGAAGCCAATACAAATTACTAGGGCCCTAGGAAGCTGGAAGGGGACTTGGAAGTTGAATATGTTGCAGTTCCAAATTGTGCATTAAAAAAAATGGCGAGAGTAGAAACAGCAAGTACCACCATACTCACAAAAGGACTCACCCATGAGCATTTGTATGCAGATAAATTATTTCAAATGACTTCAAAGTACATATGTAATTCTATTCTTTGTTCTTTCTGTTCTCCAGAGCTAGACAACTGGTGTGAATACCATGTGTACATAAAGTAATCTCAAGCATGTCTATATAAAGTAACATCAAGTCAGGGTCAGCCATGGTTAATGATAGGATGTGAGACTGACAACAAACACTAGAAGCTGTAGACTATATTGCACTAGTGAAACCAATGATGACAATTTCTTGCATAAGAAAACTCTATGAAATCCATGGGGTCACCATAGGTGAACCAGTAAGATATGAAGTTGCATGTGCACTCCACACACACAGATCTCCTTGAGTGGATGGTTCCTTGAGTGGATGGTTACCCTTGCACAGCTGGGGCTGGAAAGGGTTTTATTGCCTCCCCTGTGGAGGAAGCTAACAGAAAGTAGGCCCTTTACAGACTTTCTGCAGAGGGGTGGAGCTTCGGCAGGCAAGCCTTCCTCCTCTTCATTTGCATGTTATCTTCTAGGGTTTTTTTTTCCAACTATCTTATACTGTTTTAGGAGGGCAAATTGGGAAGTGCAGGCTATTAAATAGGCATATCCGAAAACAGCAGGGGATTTGAATTTGGGGCACACAAAAGGCACCTATATTTGAGTGTAGTCCAGGAACTGGCACCCTTATCTATACTGTAAATAAAGGAGGTGAGGGTAAATGCAAATGGCCTAGGAACCAGGCCCGTAGCCAGGATTTCATTTCGGGGGGGGGGGGCTGATTTTTCTTCGGGGGGGGGGTGGGGGGGGCTGAGTTTCAGGGGGTGAGTCTGAGTGAAAGAGGGTCTAGCCTAGCAAACCTTTTGTATCATTACCCCAATACCCCCATGCATATGGGATATATTGAGTATGGTGATCAGATCATGATATGAATAAACATAACAGTTTAAATAATGTACCAGTAAGGCCTTTTCGCACACCACCATGAGAATTTGGGGGGGGGGCTGGATGAAGCCCCTCAAGCCCCCCCCCCCCAGCTACATGCCTGCTAGGAACTGGATAATATGACATCAACACCACCCTGAGTCGCCTTCAGGTTGATATGGGTGGGATACAAATGCTGTAAATAAATAAAGTCAATAAATTCTGGGGACAGAATTCTCTGTCATGTTCCCCGTAGCAGCCAAAGGGTAGCATGAAAGGTCACTACCATGGCTTTACCCTCACCACACATTTAGTCCTAACTATAGCTGATAAAGTTATAAAGTTTAATTAGGTAACATTAATAAAAGTTGCCCAGAGTTAACCCATCCATGTGTGTTGCCTCTTCATTTGTGGGGGTTCTGCAGCAATGGTGCTTTCAAGCAAGCTGGCTAGCAACATTCATTTCTAAAGGTGAAACTGAAAGGGTGCTCTCAGTGATGTCCAGTGGCATCCATATCAGTGGGAGGTAATGGTAAATCTGCCCTGGGGTCTGTTCTGAACATTGAATGAATGGTCTAAGATATTGAATCCTACATCTTAACAAATGGTTTCAACATTTTGGATAAGTCCTTTTTAACCTGGTCTAAAGCCGAGAACAAATTTAACGCCCTGCTGAGATAGAGGTCACTACCATCACATGGGCACCATTGAGGTGTGGGCCTCATTCAAACCATTGACAATTGTTGCTGTTAAAATTCAGCCCATAATCTTTTTTCAGCTGAACAGTCTGCTCAGCAAAGTGGGATAAAATGTAGGCAAGTATAGGCTAGATAGATGATTTACCACTAAATGGCTTTTGTTTCTGGATTGCTTTCTTCATCTCACTAAGTTTCATATTCATCATAGTTTTTTTTCTTTTACAAATGTGCCCACTCATAATGAGAATTTGATGATATTCTCTTGTTTTTCTTCTTTTTTAAAAAAAAAATCCTGTAGCTTTGAAAGCAGCTTTTGATGAAAAGGACCTATTCCCCAAAGAAATTCTGGATCAGGAAAAAAAATTGCGGCAGCTTTGTGAGGAACTGTCTGACAAAGATGGGGTAACAAATGAGAGAAAGCAAAGGAAGTTGAAAAGAAAATGAAGTGGTCCTGACTTCAAAAGCAAGGTGGGTATGAAGAATACCACCTGGTGGTTTTTATATAATGAGGTAGAATTTGGCCCAGAGACCACTGAGAATCTGGCAGGGGGCAGCGGAAAAATGGAGAAAAGAGCTGTCAAAATGATCGAAGGGTCAAGAAGCTTAATCCTGGGAGGGAAAGATTAAAGGCATCTGGGAGGCTTCCATAAAAGACAGCAAAAGGACACCAGTGTATTGGAAGTTCCTTGGCACAAGTCCCATCAAAATGACTGAAAGTTACACATAGAGCAATATTTCCTTTCTGTGGGGCTTGCATAGAAAGAAGGGAAGCATAAAGATTCAGACATTTAAAAGAAAAGACACTGAACTGGAAAAAGAAACCAATAAAAAGTAGCAATGAGTTTGATGTAGGGTACATATAGATTTACTTCCTATAGAGATTGTTCTTCCTACTGTTACGAGGCCTCTATTTATTCCAACTACCTTTTTGCTCCTCCACAAACTGACTCAGAAACTGCCATTGATTCAGGCTTTCCCTAACATAAAGAGACAAGAAAAATATACTTCTTGTGCCTGGTATGTGTCTGCTCTGAAATGTATATTCCAGGTGTAGTTAACTTTAGTGCATCTGGAGGTCAATTATTTGTCCCAGGAACCCTTTGGAGGCTATATATTCTATTGTGGTTTTGAAACACTGATATTTTCTGATGTTAAACAGGACAGGTTGTCAGCCATTTAAAAGGTAAACTGCTGCTCCAGGAGAGTCAATGCACAATGCAGAAAAAAGTGGAGTCTCAGGAAAGCTATAAAAACAGCTTTACATGCACTTTGCCCATTTCGGTTTTGTTCAGAGGATCCCTCAAAAAACAGCAATAACAATATTAATCCAATTCAGATACTTGGCAGGGACAGTCTCGATTAACCCTCTGCAATACCATCTTCTGTTTCCTCCTCCCACATACCTCCTTATTCCTAAATTGCTGCAAACTGAGTTCAAAGAGGAGAAAACACTACTGTTTCAATTATCAATAGGGAAGATAGAAGAGTTGTTGCAACAGTTTCTATCTTGTATGTTTTGCTTAGTAAACTCTGCTACCTTGTCACATTAGCAATGGAAAGCATACTCAAAATATTTGAAAATGGTTGAAAAAAATGTTCAAGTGATGCAAAACTACAATGGGAAAAGTCCTTGATTGATGAGTATCTTCAAAGTTCAGGACTTACTCTGTACAAAATTCACATATGATTGTATTGTGAAGAAATTCTCATTTTCTATGCAGAAAACAACCCTTACTGCATTGAAAATAACATTTCAATGCAGAAATGTTAAATCCTGTGCAGAAAATGCTGCTGTCAGTGTAGTAAATATTTTTATGGGCTGGACTTTAGCACAGCTGGTAAATCAACAGCAAAGATAACATCTACCAATTCAAAGGCTGCCAGTTCAAAGCCCCAGGTCAGCGTGAGCTCCTGACTGTCAGCCCAGCTTACTGTTGACCTAATCACTTCAAAAACTGCTTAAGATGTAAGTAGAGAAATTAGGTACTGCTAAAACAAGCAGGGGACGTATTTTATGACACTATAAGAAAAAGAACAGAAATGCCTAGTGACCAAAAGGAAGGAGGAAGTCCTGATGGATCTTCATCATAGAGGATGGAGTGACAGCACCCTCCGTGTCTGGGTTTGAGCACAACCTCCAAGGTGCCAAAAAAAAAAAAGCTGGACATCAACACAACATATATCCTTTCTGTTCTGCTTGTCTCTGTCCTGTCTAACCAAAATGGAATTGAATGCTTGTCGTGCATGTATACTGTGATCCGCCCTGAGTCCCCTTGGGGAGAAAGGACAGAATATAAATAAAGTGTTATTATATTATCATGCAAATTACCCATATGCAAATTTTATGCAGAAGTCAGGGCATATCTAAATCAGTGGTTCTCAACCTATGGGTCTCCAGATGTTTTGGCCTTCAACTGCCAGAAATCCTAACAGCTGGTAAACTGGCTGGGATTTTTGAGAGTTGTAGGCCAAAACACCTGGAGACCCACAGATTCAGAACCACTGAAATACAGCATGAATACAGCAGCGAAGAAGTAAAACAAAGTAATAACACCAATGGTGCAATTAGATCATTTTAGACTTTGTATTTAATGACATTCTGTCCTTATTTCAATGATAATTCACCTTTCTTCAAAAAGTCATGCTGCAGTCCTATTGCGTTTGGCCCTGCTGCTCTTGAATACAATCCAGGTTTCTGTTTCAAAGTCCTACTTTGATGGTATCATTCACAGCAATGTCAGAAATTTCTCATATTTTAGCACTCTAAAAATGTCAGAAGATCAATAGATCATAAAAAGAATATAAGATTAAACATGAAAAATTTACTCTCTTAACTCTCTATGTCTAGCCAACTCTTTCACCTTCAAGCTCAAGAGCTGATGAAACCCTGACCCTTTGCCACGCAACTGTTTTCCTGGCAGACTGATTCAGTTGGAGGGGAGGACTCACCCTTACTGGCTAGATGACCCTTCAACCTCTGCTCAGAACATGGACCGCCATTGATTACTTGCTATGAAATTCAAATAGATATTGAAGGCATGTCTTCAGATTCAGTCAATTAATATGAAAGCCAAGCCAGGCCTACCATACTTTATACTGCAGTTGATTTTTGTGAACCGAACATATCTCCAGGAAAGTGTTACTTATGGACCGTACACTTGATTTGTATGCCCAAGGTCCTAGACAATTTCTAGGATTTCCAACATCTGAAAGTCCACATGGTTGTCATCTTTGCTGTAGACAATATAGACCTAGTTACATCAGTTATCTGACTGGATTAATGGAAGCTAGTTCCTAACACATGCAGCACTGTCCACCATTGTATAATGGAGGAGATTCATTGTGATGCATCAATTATATCTTCTGATGAAGTTTGAGCCCCATTATTGCCATGCACATAGGTGCATGAAATATAAAGATGTATGTTTGTGAAGTGTTCACATGCTTGCCCAGTCCCTTATCCAGGCACTGCCCATTGGATTGCTATGGTTGAAAAAAGGCTAAAAGCATCTGAAGCCATTGGCATCACTTCATTGGCACTACTAACAGCAAAAATGTAGGTGTCTTTGATGATGATTGAAGCATTAGGCTTTCCATATCATGGCAATACACAACTCCTTTCTAACATTCCCTTCTCCTCCTCCAGGTTTATTTGTTAATGCTGACCTTGCGTCAGGTATGTTGGCAGGGGCAGGAGTCAAATGCTTGTTCCTTCAAGCTTTGAATAATGTTCTGACAGTATCCATCTGTGTGCTTGCATGTATGCATGCATGTATGTAAGCTTGCATGCATGATTCCTGCCCTACTGAACATTATAGGTCCCCTGATGAAATGAGCTTCCAAGAATCCTTTAGGTTTTCTGGGAAATAATTTGAGAGTCCATCCATTAAATATTAAGAAGAGCCATTTACGTCTTCCCTTTAATAGTTTGTATGCATGTACAGCTAGTGTTAATGTGAGATGACAAGAGCAGCGGGCAGTACATTCTAGATCCGCAGAATCTATGTTTGCATTGCAGATCAAGAGAAATGCAAATAAACATTTTAAGCTCAGTCCTGAAAATGCCCTTAGAGATGGTAAATAACAGAGATGGGAGAAACCTCTTTGTTTTTTTAATCCATTTTCAACATTTCAATCACATCTTATAGCTCACACCTTTCCAAATAAAAGAATGGATTGTCAAGGTGTCAAACAAGATAAGAAGAAATTAAAACAATGTCTAAAGACAGAGTGTCAACTGGAAAACTCTGAAAAAGGGAACACATTTAAACCCTAGGAAATAGCATATTATATGTATCAGAATGTTAGCAGGACTTTAATACAAGCAGAATGTACAGGCAAAAGAATAAAATGAATATTATGATTTACTTGCAAATAAGAAATTATTCTTGAAATAAAGACATCTAGGAGTCCGAAATAAAATATTATAAAATGGCATAAAATTGCCTTAACTTTACAACAGATAAAAAGAAAATAATTTTAATACGTCTTCTTTTGCATTATGATTGGATTTATCCCGATTACTAAAAAAACCAAAAGCAGTTGGAAATAAAGTATGTTAAATCATCATTTAAAGAAATATTATCAAACCACTTCCCCTGGTTTTCACAAAAGGAGCCGGATGGGCAGGAGCAATTCAGAAGCATTTCAGGACAAAGGGATGGGCAGAAGTCAAAGTTTTTCAAACTTCAGAAATGGAAATCTTTACCTTATTAAATTGAGAGATTTAAGTGAGCACGAAACCTCCCCAAAAAGAAGCCTGTTTTTAATATAGCTTGTCAATTTCTCCAGCTTTCTTCTCCTTACATTTATAACAGGCGTGGGGATGTTTAGTTGTTTACTAAGGACAAGACTCCCTGGTGGTGCAGCGGATTAAACCACTAAGCTGCTGAACTTGCCAAGTGAAAGGTCAGCGGTTCGAATCCAGGGAGCAGGGTGAGCTCCCACTGTTAGGCCCAGCTTCTGCTAACCTAGCAGTTTGAAAACACACAAATGTGAGTAGATCAATAGGTACCCCTTCTGTGGGTAGGCACTCAATGTAGTCATGCTGGTCACATGACCTTGGAGGTGTCTACGGACAATGCTGGCTCTTGGGTTTAGAAATGGAGATGAGCACCAACCCCCAGAGTTGGAGACGACTAAACTGAATGTCAGGAGAAACCTTTACCTTTACTTTAAGTATAGGAGTAGCCATTGTTTACCTGATTTGGACGAGCATCACTTTCTATCAGAAGGCATGAGACTTATTTTTTTACAAGTATACATCACAGATAGAAAATCTCTGTCTTTCAGGTATAGGTGAACTGAACACATGCTTCCTACATTGCAATAACTTCAAACTTCAGTTTAGTTTACAGCTTAGGTGAACAAAGAAAAGTGCAGGCAAAGTTACCAAGGCAGTAAAAACACAGCAAATATAAGAATTCTTAAACAATTTCTAATCTCTCAATCTACATGGTAATGAAGTCAAAAAGATTAAATAAAGAATTATTATGGGATATGACTATGTGATTTGCTAAGTACATATGTGCCAAGAATTGTGATCTAGAGCTGCAATGTAATAAGGTATGCTTTGCAATTTCTGTATATAGACTCCAGACACTTTTGGCTGCAGATAAAATAAAATTGTTTGGATCTTTTCCTTAGTATTCTTGTCTGGTTAAAGTGCATCAAGGAACAAACTGCCAGGTTAGGGTTAACACAATGCTAGATATTTGTGGACTTCAGTACATTTTTGGGGGGTGGGGGGAGTTATTTGGAGGAAAATGTCCACATTTTGCCCGCTTCCCACTAACTATAGTCCAGCACCAGTGAATTATTTTTTGGGTAAAGAGATATTAGCACTTCTTTGTCTAATGGCCCCTTACACCACAACACCAATCTGAAAATACTAGGGATCAACCCAGTGTCCAATCAGTAGTTCTTAAGATTTTGCATCAGGATTGAAAGAAGAACTGTCACTCTTCTTATAGGAGTTCATATAGTTCCAGGTTCTGTGTATGTGTATAAAAGCTGTGCAGTGAAGAAAGCTGTCAACAAGAGAATCAACACATTTGAAACATGTTGCTGGAGAAGAGGTCTGTGGATACTATGGGCTGTTACACAGGCAAATGAACTGACCTTAATGCAAACCTAGGCAAATTCTCACTGGAAGTGAGGATGACTAAACTGAGGTTGTTGTACTAAGGACATGTTATGACATGATGTCACACACCTGGAAAGATGGTGGGGCTGTTGGAGGCCTTTTATTCATAGAGGTGGCATAACAATAAGTCAACATGATGGCAGATAGCAACAACAGCAAATCATCCTAACCTTCTGGTAAGTATGCTGGAGCTCTGGGAAGGCAACAGCAGCTAATATTTATCAACTGTAAAACTGTAGCCAGATGTTGTGTGGTCATCCTCCTCTCCAATTCGCTTTGGCTGGTGTCAGGTTTGAGTCCCATTGCCTTCACACTGGTGACAGATGCCCACTGGAGTCACGCTAGCATAGATTTCTACGCCACAGGCTACAAATTTATTTATTTATTTATTTATTTATTATTTATGGCAATTGTAGCCCACCTTTCTCAGCCTTACGGTGACTCAAGGCAGCTTACAGAAATTGGCAGAATTTGATACCATACATTCATATAGTACAATTAAAAACATTCAACCTAATATTATAAAAACCATATAAACCATTAAAACCATTAAAAACATATCATCACCAGTGTCATCCTGTTAAAACCTTGGCTATGGACCTTTCAGTCATGAAAAGCGACTTTTTAAGATGCTAGCTGATTTTAGAGGTGACATCACCTCTAAAATCAGCTCACAATCCTTTCAGTGTTTGTTAAGGAGCATGTGGCTTGGAAATAAGGATTAACTTCATGGGAAAGATGATGGAATTTGTGAGCCAGATTAGGCGTGTGATCTGAAGATTTATCATGGCTTCATTGAACAGACCGAACGGTACCTGTTTCACAATCGGCCTCTGCAGGAAAGGTGAGCTGAGACATATATTGATTGCTGGAACCAACATCAGAGATAATGTGTCCAAAAAATATCTCCCAGTTTTCATACATTGGCCTGGATTGTGGTGTCCTCTGAGGATATATATTTATATTTCTTTGTGTCCTTTCACCATTCTGCACATATTTTCTCGGCCTCTTGACCTTTGGGTTATATTGATTCACAGCTCCCAGTGATTCAACACATAGTTGTACAGTGCTTGTGTTTCAAGTAAAATTCACACTACTATGTCTAACAGCTGGTAAAAAATATATCTGCAAGGCAATGATCTCACCCTGAGGTTCCTCCACCTAAGAACTAGAGATGCACTCTAAATTCTGGAAAATCTATCCCAAAAACAACCAATTGCTTCTGATTTTAGTAGCAATGCCAGTTCAGGCCTGGGTTAATACTTGGATAGGAAATAATAGCAGCAACCCCCGAGAGCCACTGCTAGTCAGAGAGTGCATCTATACTGTGAAATAATTTTGTTTGACACAATTTTAACCACCTTGGTTTAATGTTATGGCATCATGTGAGTTGTAGTTTTACAAGGTCTTCAGCCTTCTTTGCCAAAGAGTCATTTTACAAGGGATTTAACGTATGACTAAAGTTAACATGCAACTTACATTATTCAATAGCACTGAGCCATGGTAGTTAAAGTGGTATCATACAGTAATAATTCTACAGTATAGATGCACATTGGGATAACATCTTTGAGCTAGATGGATCGATGGCTCTATGAGGCAGCTTCCTATGTTCCTATTATTTCAGGGAAGCTCAGTAAACCATCTAAGCACTTTGTATACTAAATTAGAGAAACATATTAGACAGTCCCTGAGTTACAAACATCTGCCTTACAAATGATTCATAGTTAAGAACAGGGTGGGACAACAGGAAGTGAGAGAAATCTACCCCTTGGAAGAGAAATTCACTCCTGAAAGAGTTATTATGGGGAAAGGGGGTCTTCACTGACGCTTTCTCACCAATCCTTGTTTTAACAAGGAGCCAATTTTTTCAAAATCCAATTCTCACAGGTACAAAAGGTGAGGTGAACTCTTCAGAACAGGGGCACAGACCACAGGGGTGTCAATCCCTCCATATGCTGGCTTGAGTTATACTTAAAATATATCTGTTCCAACTTACATACAAATTCAACTTAAGAACAAACCTACAGAACCAGGCATGTAGCCAGGGGGGGGGGCTTGGGGGGCTTAAGCCCCCCCCCCCAAATTCTCATGATGGTCTGCGAAAAGGCCTTACTGGTGCATTATTTAAACTGTTATGTTTATTCATATCATGATCTGATCACCATACTCAATATATCCCATATGCATGGGGGTATTGGGGTAATGATACAAAAGGTTTGCTAGGCTAGACCCTCTTTCACTCAGACTCAGCCCACCCGAAACTCAGCCCCCCGAAACCCCCCTGAAAAAAAACCCACCCCCCCCCCCCCCGAAACAAAATCCTGGCTATGGGCCTGTACAGAACCTATCTTGTTCATAACTTGGGAATCGCCTGTACTACTGAAATGATTGAGTGCACATCTAAGCTTGCAAGAGAGATTTTTTTAAAGATCTGTCTAATTCATCTTCTGCAATTGCTGGTAAGACTGTGGCTGGCTGCTATATTTGGGCATATACCCAGTAGCAAATCCAGATTTGCTGCTCAGTAACATGCCAAATGGCTTTCCAGACTGAAGAGATTGCACCTTCAATCCTCTTCTCATTTCAGAACTGCTTAACGGGTGATAAGGCTAATATCTAATTCATTGCTCTTTTAAATTACTCAACCTGGGGATTGTAAGAACTTGTTTCACCACCTGCATACAGTGAACTTGATTAATGATATGAAATAAAGTCCTCTTTTCTGTCCCTTGAAAATAAATGAATGCATTACAGGAGAATTATACATATATAAAACACTATCCCAAATGCAATTTTCATGTACTTTTGAGAAAGCCCAGGGAATCTGGTCCATTTTGCAAGTGACAACAATGTCATGACTAATTCTGCACAAGCAATTTTCTTTTATGTGATTCCTCCCAAGCTACTTTATGTAAGTAATCACAATATATTTAGATCTAGTCAGGTGTTAAACACGGCCTCTAATTTTTTAAGCTGTCACATAAATGCCAGGTTTCAACATTTCCCTTTTTCTATGATCTGTGTAAAACATTGCCCTCTAAGTATTAAAACAGAGATGATAAGCAAGTCATAAGCATTAGACAAATGCAGTGACCATTTTTGACCATTAGATAAATAATATCAAGTAGACGTAGTAGAAGAAAAAGAACAAAGGCAGCCTATGTACCAAAGTTATATAATTCAAAACA